TTATTATTAGCAATGTTCTTCCGACGTCTGATTTCTTTTTAAAAAATGCGTTTCTAAAGTGCATAAACTTTTGGGATTGACTGTATAGCCAATACATACTTAAATTCGTTCAGGCACCTGAAAGTGTCCAGCAGTATCGATTCCATTATAGTTGCAGTGAACGTGAATCGCAGATTGTCAGCCTGTGCTATCAGCGTATCGGGCAATTGTAAACGAAACCTTGGTTCGAACCAGCGACGATTGCTCTGTGAACCGCGGTCGGGTACACACGCTCGGCGGTGGGAACGAAATTATGCTCCAACGTGGTGGTGTTCGAAACTCGAGGCAGCGCGAACTTCCTCCGTTACAATCTAAGTTGCGCTAATGCCAGCCATTCGGGCTGACCGAATCGAGGTCGCGAGGTTAACAAGATTCCTAGCTAATTTGGTGCCGACAATCAGAGCCTGCGAATTCTAGGCGTCGTCAAACGAAAGAAACTGCGTGATAAATGCCCCTGCCTCGGGAAACGTGCGTTACATTGATTAATGATTATCTATGAACCGTAAAAGTTCTGTTCTCCAAAGAAATAATGGTGTCGCGAATCATTTTTCAGTGTGACGTAAAAGAAACAGCTGAGTTGTCTTACGACAACATGTTTTCAGCGCAATATATTTCAACGCTTTAATGCAAATGTATTTTTTTTTTAAGAATTGTCGACGGTTTACAATAAAAAGAAAAAAGATTTATTTGATTAACCCAGAAATTTGCATAATATCATGCGCAACGTATTAAATTTCCATCGGGCGGCTACATAATTCAAATATTGTAATAAGACTCGGCGAACGACGTGGTAAAAGATGAAGAGGCGAAAATGATACATCATTTTCTCTTCCGTGAAAGGCAAAAGGAGCTAATCAATGAATCTGACTCTCCACGGACTTCTTGTTACCTTCGTGAGGGTATTAGAAATCCTCGCCTGACGTAAATCCTGACGGCTGACATTCAGAAGTTGAAACGACGTAAAAAGAAATTGAGAAATTATTACGGCCTTAAAACGTATTGATCATTCACTATTTCGTACGACTCGAACAAAATCTTCAGAGAGAACTTCACAGAGAATATAATTTTCCAACCATGAAAACGATCTATTATTAAGAAAAGAAATGAGTAATAATTTAAAACATAATCCGAGCTCATAGACTTTGAAGTCGTTCTCTAAAGAAAGTTCGCACCGAGGTTTACCGAAGCTCGGATAAGGCAGGAAACAGGTATACGCGGCGAACTGCATACATATTTGCGAAGCGCAAGCTTTCGAGCTTTCCGCCGGCAATTTCTTTCGTTGAACATTCGCATCCGTTCGAGTTTTACCGCATTTTAATCCCCTGGCCCTTGGCGTTGCCCAACCCTCGCCGGTTTCATTACAACCAGTCCAATTTCGAGCACCGCTCAACATGCATTTCCGCTTTCCAGTTTCGTTTAATTTCGTTAGTCGCTGTCGGTCTTTCAATTTCTCCAACTGTACAATCACGCTTTTGTCGACGAAACTCATTCGTGCCCAACAATAGTACATTGATTAAAACCGAATTGCTTTGACTACATTTTTCATTTCCCTTCTCTTTAACTCCTGTTCCGTCAAAATAATATTTGCACGGCAAAACGTCTAAATAAATAATCTACCAATCTTCATGATGGATAGGCGCTTCAGGAAATATCTAAATTAGTGGTACAGAGCAGGAGGAATGCATTTCCGACGTGTACTCCGCGCATAAAACAATTACTGTTGCAAACAGCGAGATAGAAAGAGCTGATGAAACGTGTATAAAATATTCACACGAACCGAGATAAAAAAAGATGAATACGATTCCTGGCTAAAAGTTTGGACTCGTTCCCCGAAAAATTAAAGGCAGCGACGGTCGAGCTCGTAGGACGAAACAAATTTGTAGTACTTCTGGCCCAACGACCAATTTCATTGTGAATTCTATCTCCTCAGTTTGTTGAAATTTTAAACACCCCTCTATAAAGTTATTTCGCTACGATCCGTCGCATACCCGCACAGAAAAGGAACCAAAGAAACGTGTCCGAGTAATTTTGTTAAAATTTAATATGCACGTTTTGAACTCGCGATTTACCGACGTGTAAACGAATGCAATTAGTACGGATAAGATAGTTCATTTAATGACTCTCGCTTGATGCACGTTCTAATTCTGAAATATTCACAATCGTAGATTAAATATGTAATACATTTTATTGAAACGACAAATAAAAATAAGTGCGATAAAATATTGTTATAGATCAGAGTCATAAAGGCTCTTTCTAATAAAGCTGAACGTTTCGGTAGAAGGAAACATAATCGTATTATGTAAGAAACAGGATAGACTGATCGCCTGGAAGAACGTCAGAACAAGGCGTACGTTTAATAAATCTTTGAGTAAGTCTGACGTCTACGTCGGTGTGACTCGAGGAGGAATCTGAGGAGAGAACGTAGCCGGGTCAGTGTTTACGGTGTATAGTAATCCATCAAACAGTTGCAAGCTCTTGCCGAGATATCCTCTTACAAATAATTCTGAGACACACCATTGAACAGGAAAGATCGTAATGTTATTTACATTTTTCATAGACTGAACGAAGCTCATTATTCCAGAATATCTGATGATTAAAAAGCTGGTGTTGTATAACTTATTATGAAACGTAATATCGCTGGAATTAGCAACGGGAAATGATTACCGTGACGAACTCGTTATAGCTTTGTCCAGTGGTGTATTATGTAGATCTCGTCGTTTCTAGGGGGAAAAGTGATTTCGCTGCTTCCGTCGGACGCTCGGGTTTCAATTTTTTCGCCGTGTCAATTAACCACGGGGAACTTTGTGATAGAAACCCGAGGGAGGAAATAATCCTTTTCCTATCTCTCAGTTCGCCGTTACATCGCTTCTGCTGCTACGCTCTCTTGTTTCACCAGGCGGAATTTTCAGGTTCCGCCTCGTTTTATTTTCATCAGATCCCCGATTCTGCGAAATACGTGTTTTGTACCGGTAATGGTCCAGTTCCTTGGGTTATTGATTTCAAGATATACGACACTTGGAAAAAATCACGATGTCCAATCTGGATATTTTGAGATACGAAGAATGGGATAAAAATTCCGGAAACTCAACAGTGAGCGTACTTTTTGTTTGTCCCTGTATTTTTGTTTATGCACGTACGTTTGAAAACATGAAACTTACGTTGCAGCCTCCATACGATATATCGATCCGCATTTAAATTCGGTTTTTCTCTTGGAACCAGTAAAGCGTATCATTTACTTTGTTATTATCGAAGCGAAACAAGTGATGAATGTTGATTAACTAACCAGTGAATAGATGAACGTATCGAGTTTCGAACGCGAGATTGAATCCTCACAATTAACCGTTTGCTTTGGAACGACGAACGAACCGTCCAAGGAAATGATTTATTGATCGAACGTCAT